ATTTCCTTTCCAGGAAATGTATTTCATATAGTCACTATCTCATCATGCCATCCTGTGACACCATTGTATATATTACATCATGTTTTCTGTTACGTTCTTTTTTCCTTTCTTTCTCGCCTATACACAGACATATACGGTACTAGGGGGTGCCTTGGCTTTCTTAATAAAGATTTGTACATACAAGTGAAGATTCATACAAGTTAGGTGGAACCTAACAACCCCATACAGACACAGGAAACGTTCTAATTTTCTACTTGCAGGAAATAAGAACGTTTCGGATTCCCTCCCGCAGTAAAACTGCTCCCAATCTAATTTTGCTGGTGAGATTTTCGACCGACTTTTGCAGAAATCCCTAGTCTACAACTTTTGCATTGGAAGTTTTGTGAAAACTTCTAAGATTTCAAAGCTAAAAGAAAAATACCGCAAAACGTTTTAACCGCATTGTAATTGCCCCACGTGCTGCGAAGAAGCGAAGTTAATTTGAACGCTTTTTGCTTAAATCCATTCAAATTCATGGATGTTCCAAAATTTTCTTACATTATTTGGCATTTTTAATGTGAAACAGAAAGAGTATGTCCATGTATGTTGATGATTATCTGTTTTTCATTAGACATATTTCGATTTTGAATTTGAATTTCTGTTTTAATAGATGATATTGGTGAAGATTTGTTTCGACACTGGAATGAAAAATTATATGCAATTTTCATTTCAGTTTAGAAACGTCATTATTTGATTTCAGGAAAAAAACGTGATGAAAACTGTGCATGTGTCGTCTAATGCGATGGTTACCATAAGTGAAATGGACTCGTATGTACTTACAATAACGCTTATGATACAACTGTACCAGAATCAGCAAAGCACCGCCTCTTATTCGTGGTATGAAAACCCTTGTCGACCTAACGGTCATACACTTATTTAACTGAATCTGCTCGTTTTCTGTATTTAGAACATAACAATAAATATTTTTTCCAAGATCATCAACCACAGTCAGATATTCAAGAGCGTCAACGGCATCGACAACATCCAGTATAAAAGAACCAGAAACATCGTCCACACAATCAATATTACCATCATTGTTACGAAGAAAAATTCGCAACAGCAATGGTAAAAACAGTAAAAATTCACCTCGATTAAAGATCCATGCCTCCATATAACAATAACTACACGACAAATAATCATTGCTATTGGATGAAGCTCAAGGAATTCAGTATACAAACATATGAGAAGTACAATGTGTATCGTGATGCGTTTGAAAAACGCAAATAAACTAGTCATGATTTTAGGGCTACGTTTTTAGATGCCAAGGTCGTTTTTAAGACTTCACATTGCGAACTCTGCATTACTCACGGCCACTGAGCAACATCATCTGTCCGCCAACCAGAGCTCATTATTTCTGATCTAGCTCTCGAGATCATCGCTGCATCTCGTCAACTAAATAAATATACTAACTCTCCTTGCAGTATCATCCTGAGTGCAGGGAATCCGGCCTAACTCGTATAAGTGCAGTATGTCTTAAGCGCTTCAACTCATGTTGAACCATTCAAGAAACATGGACCACAATCGCACATAAAAAGGCACACAAAGAAAACTTGCACAAAAAGAAAAACCGCGCTGCCTCCGCAGCAAACTAGAAAACGGCTATTCCATCTTCTTACGCCTATTCTCCCAGTGCTTCACCTCCTATAGCAGATAATTAGTTCTATCTAAGTTTAAGTTGAGTGAAATTATTGTTTACTTTCAGTACTTCTACTAGTGCTTCACCTCCTCTATGGGATATTTGGTTGTTGGAAAGATCAAGCAGGGTGAGGGTGTTGTTTACTTTCAGTGCTTCTGCTAGTACTTCACCTCTTCTATCGGATATTTGGTTGTTGGAAAGATCAAGCAGGGTGAGGGTGTTGTTTACTTTCAGTGCTTCAGCTAGTGCTTCACCTCCTATAGCGGATATTTGGTTGAATATAAGATTAAGTTAAGTGAGGGTGCGGTTTACTTTCAGTGCTTCTGCTAGTGCTAAACCTCCTATAGCGGATATTTTATTGTGTGCAAGATCAAGTTGAGTGAGGGTGTTGTTTACTTTCAGTGCTTCTGCTAGCGCTTCACCTCCTCTATCGGATATTTGGTTGTTGGAAAGATCAAGCAGAGTGAGGGTGTTGTTTACTTTCAGTGATTCAGCTAGTGCTTCACCTCCTATAGCGGATATTTGGTTGAATATAAGATTAAGTTAAGTGAGGGTGCGGTTTACTTTCAGTGCTTCTGCTAGTGCTAAACCTCCTATAGCGGATATTTTATTGTGTGCAAGATCAAGTTGAGTGAGGGTGTTGTTTACTTTCAGTGCTTCTGCTAGCGCTTCACCTCCTCTATCGGATATTTGGTTGTTGGAAAGATCAAGCAGAGTGAGGGTGTTGTTTACTTTCAGTGATTCAGCTAGTGCTTCACCTCCTATAGCGGATATTTGGTTGTTGGAAAGATCAAGCAGAGTGAGGGTGTTGTTTACTTTCAGTGCTTCAGCTAGTGCTTCACCTCCTATAGCGGATATTTGGTTGAATATAAGATTAAGTTGAGTGAGGGTGTGGTTTACTTTCAGTGCTTCTGCTAGTGCTTCACTTCCTCTATCGGATATTCGGTTGAATATAAGATTAAGTTGAGTGAGGGTGCGGTTTACTTTCAGTGCTTCTGCTAGTGCTTCACTTCCTCTATCGGATATTCGGTTGAATATAAGATCAAGTTGAGTGAGGGTGTTGTTTACTTTCAGTGCTTCTGCTAGCGCTTCACCTCCTCTATCGGATATTTGGTTCCATCTAAGATGAAGTTGAATGAGGGTATTGTTCACTGCCGTTAGGCAAACGGCAGCGGCTTGTTCAAAAGCATAACGCGCCGTCGTGTGCTGAGGGTCGCTGAATGCCACAGCCAGTCTTAGTGAGGATAGTTGTGTCATACACGACAAGTGCGGTACTACGACTTTGATCACTTGTTCTCGTTGGATATTGAACAAGGATAAAGAACGAAGATTTACCAATGTGTTCTCGGGAAACTGGGTGAAGAACAAGTCAACGTAACTGGAGGTCTCTTCAGACAGACGCAGAGAGCGAATTTGCGCTGTTGATGGAAAGTGTTCGCAGACAAAGTTACATTTGGATTTACTGATGTGTTGAAAGTTCAGATCAAACTGTATGCTGCCAAGTAGTCCATCGAAACGATAGTTTAATCGAAGAAATGAGTGGAGAATATCATAAGCATCGAAATATTCAAAGATGTCAAGAATCACTTCATTCGCAAGCGATTCAAATTGTGTCACATCTAAACAAACATGCATTGTCAAGAGTTTGAATCCTTGGTGTCTCTTACATGAAGGGACTTTCTGAAGTATAAAGGAGACAGAATGGCAAGGTGGATAGTCACTCTGCAAGATGAGTAGCATTGAGTGATGGTTCTTCAGTAAAATTAGTCGCGCTTCTATCGTCCCAGTCGAATATGGATGGATGGGCAGCCATTAGCAGTTTAGTATGATCCGGACCATGGATGTCATATCTCTCTTCACTTTTCTCAACACATTGCAATCATCAGGTTTGTGTGTGCCGCAATAAATGTGGTTGAAAAACACATGCTCAACTTACCATTCTGTGCTTGCTTTAAACATTCATCATTGCCACAAGTACTGAGTAATCGGTCGGATAAGTCATGCTGCATCTCTCTTCGGGATATTAAATCAACGTTTGTATTCACTAGAGAGAAATGCTGCCAGGTCATCCTAATCGTTCAAGAGGGTGTCGAAAGATAAAAAGCAGGTGATAGAACATGCTTTTTTCCAAGAAAGATGCTACGCTTCAGAGAAGCTTTTTAAAAATAAAATTAAGAGGATCAAAAGGCCGTTTCTCGCAAAAGACATGGGAGAATGCCAGACAGAAAAACTGGTCAAAGCTAGAAGGTGAAACTGGAAGACTAAAACAACATTACTACACCTCAGAGCAGAGATGTGGCGAAAGAAAAAAAATGGGGGGCTGCAATAGTGAAGATCAACGTCATATGATCTTTTTTCTGGTAGTCGGTTTTTCAAACGAGCACTCTGAAAAACTAACAATTTTTGATAGTTTTGTTCTAAACCTATGCATATAATCGTCTCAATATAATCTAATGCATCAATCTACAGAAAGATCATTTATTCTATTATTATTCATAAGATGGTATTTTAGTTTATAATGTTATAATATTATCGAATAGTTGTTCTTATTTTCCATATTTTCGCTTCTTTCAACAAAAAGTGGGAGAGTGCGCACCCCCCATTTTTTTTCTTTC